GAGGCCCTCACCTTCGGCAGAGGCCCTCACCTTCGTCAGAGGCCCTCACCTTTGTCAGAGGCCCTCACCTTCGCCAGAGGCCCTCACCTTTGCCAGACCATCAACTGAGGCCCTCACCTTCGCCGGACCACCGCCTGATGCCGTTGCTCCACCAAGCCACCACCAGATGCCCGGACTTCTTCCGGGCCACCACTTGACGCCGACAGTCCTCCCGAAGTACCGCCCTCCTACTACGGTCTTTCCGACCCTGGTCTCCTGCCGACTACGGTTCTTCCGACTTACATCGCCAGACAACAGTCTTTCAGACCCTGGTCTCATGCCAACTACGGTCTTTCACTCCTATCTCCTGCCGACTACGGTCCTTCCGACCTCCGTCGTCTACTATGGTGACTCCGATCTCCTGTAATAAACAATAGTTTATCCTCTTCTACAAACAAGTGCAAATATGTCAGGATTTCTTAAAACCTAGTGTTATTACTGGAGTTTTCTCAGAAGCCCTAGAATACAAACTACAAACTCTAGTAATAAATAATAATGCCAGGTTTTCACAGAACCCATCATGCAAACTTTCAAGAAACCTGGCATGCCTGTTAAGGTCTGTTCTCATTATTAAAATGTTATCCATTCTATTTGCAAAATTTAAAATTTTTTTTTCCTTCTTCACAAAAATGTCGAACTAGCTAAAGTTCAAAAGACAAACACTGAAGGCCAAAACCATTAAGAACATAATAGTTCCACCAAGCATAATAATCCTGCTAGGCGACACCAGTTTACCTAAAAAAATTATTATTCCAGCTATCACCATTGAATTCTATATTCCAACTAACAATCATGATAAACAAATCAATAACAGCTAGAACGCATAATAATTGGCTACATTGCCTGAATTTAAAAGTTACTACAACACCTTAAGAAAAAACTTAGCACTTAATCAATTCCCAGATAATTTTCAAAGCACAATCTTTCCTTTGATTCTACAATCCAAAAATGAGCAAGAAAAATAAGGAAAATATAAAAACCTTGGATAGAAGGAGCAGTGCGTTCTCCCGCAGCGCGGGGTTCCTAATGTCGAGTAATAACTGCCCCACCGTCGCCATTGTCCGGTCCTTTCCGGCTCCTCTGCCGCCGGTACCCGGACGGACAGGAGGAGTCGGCGGCAGCGAGAAGCGCGGGCCATAGGGAGCGTTCATTGAGTACGACTGAGGCATTCTCGCCATTATTAATCGATGAGGGAAGATCTGAGAGTACGAAATTTTGCGGGGAGGATATGAAGGCGCCCGTTGGGCTGTTCTTATTTTGTTTTCCCCGCTTTGGATCCGACGAAATGAAGGAACCGCCTTCTTTGTAGCCGGAGAGTTTGCAGCTCTTCATGCATGCGATTTCGTAGTATAGTTAGAGGCAGTTTGGATCACTTTCTATTTTGGCTTTTCTCCTACTTTATTTATATTTTGATATAAAACATACATATTTTTATAATTATTTTTATTTTTATTGAATATACTTTGGTCATGACAAATTGGTAGCTAGTAAGGGTGTCAATATTGGACCCGACCTAAAAATTTCAGTTTTGGGTTGACCCGAACCCGAAGCGGGTCGGGTTCGAGTCCGGAAAACCGAACTGTTTGAAAAATCGGGTCAGATTGACCCGGAAACCTGGGAATGACCCGAAATGACTTGTAATAACACATAAACTCGTCTGCCCGGAATGACCCAACCTCGCCTGCCTCGGCTGCCCCGCGTGCTGCCCCACGTGACGGTTCCACATCGCACTCGCGGGCGCCCCGCGCCCCGCGTCAGTTCCGCATTGCGGGCAGCACTTCCGCCGGCTTCCGCTGCCGTCGGCCCACTGCTGCGGCAGTTCCGCGTCAGTTGTCGTGTTCGCATGTCTATTCGGGTTTACCCGAATCCGAAGCGGGTCGGGTACGGGTCCAAAAAAATTGATTCGTTTGCAAAAACAAGTCGAGTCGACCCGAACCCGAATAATGCTGTGTCAATTTCGGGTTCAACCCGAAGCTGACCTGTGACCTGAAATTGACACCCCTAGTAGCTACTAGTGGTGGCTGGTGATAGGTGATGGGAGATGGTGGTATCAGTGATGGCGGCAGAAGGCATTGACATTATTGATGATGTCAATGAATATGATGATAGTTATAGTGCTAGTTTCGATGTTTTTTATTTTAAAAATCGTACAGCATCTAGAAAATACATAAAAGTTATTTCAAGCATTTTTAAAAATAGCATAACTAAATTTCAAATCATTCTAAGAAAATAAGAATTAAACAAATAAAAAAATTAAAAAGGAGGAAAATTTGATTTTGAGTGAAGTGAAAATATGCCCTATGTTTTAGCTGCTTTCAAGATAGGTCATAAACTTAAGTAATGTATGATGGTGTGGAATGTTGGCCATTAAAAAATATGCATACAATTAAGTTAAATGTTATAGAGATGAGGATGCTCAAGTGAAAAGTGGCTTTACTCTTATAGACATAATGTGAAACGAGTATATACATGTAAACGTTGGAGTAGCTCCAGTTTGCAGGAACCGGAAGCCACGAGATGGCCGGACTACCTTGTGCAGGAACCTGGTGCCGCAAGGTGTCTCTTTTGGTGTTGCTGTTTTTGTTACTCTCCATTTATTATATTAGTTATAAATCCTGCTTAAGTAATTTGTAAAATATCTGTTTATATTTTATGAACTTAATTGATGTCAAATTTGTGTTATGTGTTTTTAATTTATTTGTTTATGTTTTGTAGAGTTAATTGTTGCATTATTATTTTGTTTTGAGTTGTCGCATATTCTTAATGTGTCAAAATAATGTCATAGGAATCATAGGATGTTAAATGTCTATAGAGGTGAAGCTAATTTTATTATTTTTAATTATATTATTATTTATTACATTATTTTGTTTGACCGGTCGAACCGTGAACTTCTCTTTCTTCCGATTTCTTGTCTGGTCCGATTTTCGCAGCATTGAATGCATTATTACTAAAAATTAAAAAAAATAGACTTGCAAAAAACTTGGTTAGAAAATATTAAAAATGACTTTTATTTATTAGATTTAAATGAGAAATTTAGTCTTAATAGAACACAATGGAGAAAAAAATGATTAATATAGTAGACCCCACAAAGTGGGATAAAGACTTGATGTTGTTGTACATATCTTAAATTGTGGTAGACATTAAAAAAAATTATACTTTTCTATAATAAATAAGTTTATAATACTTATTAAAAATTTGATTTTTCGCATAATAATTTTACAACTATTTTTATTTCTTACCTACATGTTTTGATGCCCCAAACAAGCCCAATGATTTGATTAAGAGATAATTTTTCATACTTTTAATTTTAATATTTAATTATGTTTGAATATAATCTTTTGAATATTTTTTGAAAATTTTATATTGAGAAATTACTTTCTTACAAATAAACCCATAAAAATGTGATATATATAAGAAATTTATTGTTCAGTTTATTTACTTAAAAGAATGTATTATATATACTCACTTAAAAAAACTATGATTCTTCCAATAATTCTAAGAACTATTTTTTTTTTTAATAATTGTACCATCCAAATGGGCCCTAAAACTAAAAAATAATGTGAAAAGTTTAGAGCCAAATAATCTCCAAATTTTATAAATTGATAGTCAGAATGATCAAACATAGCAAAAAACTTCAATGAAATGAAATTTGTGGGTCATTTTTGACACAAAAAGGTAATCCACTTCAATTGTTTTCTAGAGAACCCAAAATTGATTCCCAGTACATTCCCAGAACAATCATCAACTAAGTAAACTCTAAATTAAAAATTAAAAAAATTAAAATAAAATTAAAAAAATTAAAATAAAATTCAGTAAACTCTAAATCATTAAGATCATTAAATTACACTAAAATAGACATATTTTGATGCTATAATTGTGAAATATTTTTATCATTCATTGCCAATCCTCATTTGGATATCTAAACCTTATAGAAATGATAATGTTTGATTCAACTAATAGAAATTTGATTCATTGTTTATATTGATCTTGTTGAATTAAGAACCTTGAAAATGTCATATTTCATTTATTTGAAACATACCACCAATTATATTTCATTTGCCTATTTTAGTTGTCAATGTAAAGGGTTGATGGAGGCAACCCATGGGAAGGATCATTCCATCAATTTCTAATCAAATATGGGCTTTATTTGGAGCATTTATTATTGATTGGAATAAGGAATGTTTCATAATTTTGTATAAGGTTCTTAATGTCACAACCCAACCCGATCAAACCCATATATGAAATAGGACCTATCATGTTGGCTTATGTTAAACAAATCTTAAGATCAAGTTTTGAAAAAAAAAAAAATTCTTCCAATTAAAATTTTAAAACAAACAACAAACACACATAGCTGCTAACAACATCACAAAATTCTTTCATTTCATCATCATCAAAATGTTTGTACAAAATCTACACTACAGTATATGATTACATAACAGAGAACATAGTAAAAATTTGACAAAAGCTAATCATAAATGTATAAAAATTAAAAAAAAAAAAGCATATACATACTCATATCAAATCTTGAACTGCTCGACAAGACAACTTTTAGAATTGGCCCGTCAACAGAAAAAGGACATTTTTTTTTACTCTAGAATACATGCAGTGCCTCACATGCATGCAAAACACTTAGACACTTATAGAAGAGTTCAAAATGCATAAATTCAAGAATTTATTTTTTTAGATCATATCAGAATATTTTGAACTTAATATTAAACCTGGAGGCGTTACACTCATCACATCTTTAAAATTTATAACTATACCTGATTATATCTTTTTCGAACATTATGAACTCTAAAGTCCAAAAAAATAATCTAGAGTTATGAGAAGAAGCTTCCAACTAATTAGAGGGATCCATTAAGAGAAGCACTAGCAATATCCTAAGAGTACTTGTCCTGAAGACCACAAGGAAGCATTGACTTGCAACTCCCCATCACCCTAAGTTTACTTCACTAGAACATGACATTTCATTATAAGTAAACTAAAGCTTTGTTTAAAATAATTTTCTTATTATTTTTTAAAACAATTTTCTAATAAAAAAACTATAGTTCAAAATATTTTGTACTAAAAATTTACTTAAAAAAATAATAAGAAAACTATTCCAAGCAAAACCTAAACTTCTCCTAAGGAACAAACTAGTTGAGATACTCTGAACATAGCATAAGCTATGTTAAAAAGCTATTTTACTAAAAAAGTAATAAGAAAGTCATTCCAAACGAAACCTTAGATTTTTCACATCCCTGTCTTGCTCTTCTAGGACCAATCTTACAGTACAAAGCAACGGAAATAACAGTATGCCGTCTCAACTCTAGCGATCAAACCTCTTAAGTTATATTATGATGCTGGTCAAATAAAGGGGAACAATTACAACAAATATTGCTGGTCTGACGGGGAACTGATAGGGAAAGAATTACAAAGTTATTTGACATTCCAAAGAAAAAGCATAACAAAGAAAATACGTAAACCTAGGCTTCTACAAGCAGCGATGAGATCTTGGCAGATATAATTTGGATGTCAGAAGAGCTATAATTTTGTACAAGTACAAATTAAGCATAAGACAACCACCTAGAATGGAGCTTCTTCATGATGTACAACGTTTATACGATAACAATCTGCCACGTTAGTTAAATAACTGTATCAGCTGTTGCTCCACCATTCACAAGTCAACCCAGCTAAAATCAGAAGCTTCCATGTCACTTATCCTCCTCCTCAATCAGCTTCTCATGCTCTAAATCCTCCCCTGTAGATCCCGAAAAAGAAGGAACTGAATTTGGATTACCACTTTTAAGCTCCAGATTCAGATCATCTATGCCAAACAATCTTTCACATTCACCCAAGTCATTAATATCTTTGACATGAACCTCTTTCACTTCGATATCGCCATTTGGGACATCAGCGGTTGAGTTCGTACAACAGAGATCGCTAGAGTCGGTCGTCTCCCTCCACTCAACCCAGTCAGGAGATTTATCACCTTCATTGATTGGACACGAATGTCCGGTATCTTCTTTGGGTTCATCAACAGGGCCGTTCCCCAGAGGAATGGTTCCAGGTTCTGGAAAGTTTCTGGCTGAATTGGACATTTCAGAGGAAGTTGCTCTATCAACAAGGTCTTCAGTTTCATCAACCATGACCTCATCAGTATCCTCAGAATTTGGAGATGGAGAGGCAATGGAGCCAGTGGAACGATCATTAACAGCTTTGTCATCCTCGAAAGCAAACCAGTTCGAGTTTGTGAACAATGAACTGCTGTAAAAAACAAAGTTTTCTTCTCGTAAGAAATACAGTCAGGGGGCAACAGCTATAGATGAGACTGGATACAGTTCTGCTTGGCAAGTAGAATGAAACAAGAAGCTAGACGTCTATACTTAAGATACTATATATTGAATAGATCAAGCAGATAGTACCTATCCTGATCATCCCCTAAACGCAGGGATGAGATTACAACTTCTGCAGATTCATCATCAAAGTAAACGTCCTGCAGCATAAATCAATTTGAAGCTTTTACTAGTCAGTCCACTTTAAAGAAAAAAGAAAGAAAATAACTGCGTCAATAAAAGATGAAGGCCATCATTTGTGCCACTGATTCTACTTCCTCTACTTCCAGTGCACATCGCATAAGCCTTACTAAATATATACGACCATTGAATCTCAATCATGTATTGAAAATAAATCGATGTTAAGGCTTCGTTTGGGGCGGCTTTATTATTGCTTCTTAAAATAATTTTTTAGTACAAAAGTTAAAATTTTTGTACTCCAAAGCTGCTTTAAGAAGCAGTTAAAAAGCCATCCCAAACGAAGCCTAAATTGTAAGAAATAAGCAGATGAAAGGAAATAAAATCATTTCCCGAAAGCCATAAACACACCTCGTCGTCACGTTCAACTGATCCATGAGTCTGCACAAAATACATATGAAGTAGCAAATTTAGTCAACAGATTAAAGCACCAGTTCGCATAAACGTGCTTCAACCAAAAAAAAAAATCAGCGGTTGAAAAAGAACTAAAAAAATCTACCAATTTGTTCATGAGAGGTGGGTTGAAACTGCTCAAGGAAATACTGCCCATGAAACACAAATGTAAAAATTCACCAAAGATAACATTCGCTTTCATACACATCATACCCAAAAGTAATCACATGGTAAAATTGGATGAAACCTATATGAAGCTCGATCTAAAATATAATACATCCTTCTCATAAATACAAATTACATTTTATTGTTTAGAAAACAATTTGTTCCATGCTGAATAAATAACAATCTAGACCCACAATGATATGCAACAACAGAGTGATCAACTATGCTAGAATACATTGTAATGAACGGGTAGATAAAGAAATATGCAACCAAGCAAATAAAATTTCAGGGAAAAAATATATTATTATTATTATTATTATTATTATTATTATTTGTTTAAGCTATATATTAAACTTTAAACAACATTAGAAAAACACCTCATAAGAAAATGATGGTAAAATGCAGATAGAGATGTCATCAACAAAGGTTAAAATATTCAAAAAATTATAAAAAATGATAAGATAACAGCATGTTAGCAGCCAACATTATCTCAGGTTGTCAAAGATACCGAGTCAGTGAAATTCTTCCCCTTATAAGGATTAATGCAATTCAAACTAACATGCCAATGAAAATCACTATATTTTGCCTATAACTTTAGAACACCAAACATGAAGCAGTTAAAGATAATTTCCACATTCAGTCAATCTAATTTTGCGCCAGGTATTATTTCTGCAAACAAGAAAGGATCGCACCTCTAGCTCATAGTTTATTAAAATAAAAAAAGAAAAAAACCATAGACAATTGATATGATTAAAGCAGAAACTTAACATTTAACATTGGCACCTTAACTTAGCCATTAAGTATAAAGATTTCAGATAGAAAGAAATCATGGCTCTATGAATGTGAACATCAAACCTTCAACCATATAACTAACCTGCATTTGATGTGCTTCTAGCTATTTCAAAACTTTATTTAAATGCTTTAGTTCTAAGGAACAAATGGGCCTTATTAAAACATCCCAAGATACTTTTTAGGGTAAAGCGTGCAAAAGAATTTTATGGTACTTGGAACTCCAGTTCTGCAATGCTTAACTTCACAATTTCCATTTTCATGTAGCATAAAGTTTAATAAATCAAAATAGTAAATTGCAAATATTGCCTTACAATTTTGAACTGAGCTGCAAACATCCAAAAGCTCCCTTCATTTAACTTCCCGCATATAAATCAACACCATTAAAATCTCAATAAAATAACCAAACAATCTGTGATGCATGCATAATTTTTGTATTTTTATTATCAAACATTGAACATTAGTCTTTCATTTGGTTTTACATTTTTTTAGCTATCCAATGATGGAAGGCATCCAATGATCATGATAGGTTGTGCTTGGGCTTTGGTAGACCTTGGTTTGCTAGCTTGTCTGGGTCCCTTGGGCTGCTGCTGGTTCTCGGGTTGAACTTATGGTTCTCGGTTTTTAGCTGGTGTTGATGTTGGGAGGTGGTCGTTGCTTTGGTGTTGAGCTATATTTTCAAAAGTGCTAGCTCATTAATTTTGAGCTCTTGGTTAGCTCATAATGAGCTGAAGTTTAGCTCATTTATTTGAGATTAATGTAAGCTCATTATGGTGGAACTTGTCCCTCTCTCTTCCCCATGCTGCCTCTCAGCTTCCTCCTTGTCTCCTCGGTTTCTCTTGGGCTTTTGCTGTTCCCGTGGCCTTGGCTGTTTTTTCCTGTGCCTGCGGTTCGTTCTCTGTGCTGGCTGTTCGGGATCCCTGCTGGCTGGGTTTCCCGTGGCTTCCAGCTAGGTCTTCAGTGGCCTTTTTGCCCTGTTTCCTGGACCGGCTTGGGAGCTGTTATTTTGTGGCTGTTGGCCTTTCATTTCCCTAAATCTAATTGGTTTAGTTGGAGGTTCTATGGCTGTTTAGTTCCCCTCTCTTGCCTATATATAGAAGATGATTTAGAAGGAAATGGTTGTTGAAAATTATTGAGCAAAGTCTCTAAAACTTGAGGGTTTTCTCTTCTTCTTGGAAAAGCTTGAGAGCTTGTTCCACTTCTTTCTCTTCTCTACTTCGTCTGGGCTTCTTACCTCTTCTTCTCTACGCAAGTTCCACCCCACTTGTATCTTTCTTCTTGAGCGTCCTAGTGTTGTTGGTTGGCTGATTTGGGAGCATTTGCCGGAGGAGTTTGGTTGGACATTTGGACCTTCTTGCTGTGGTGGACCATCGGTTTGCTAGCCCTAAGCACATACTTAACCTACATTTCGATGTATGTGAGAAAACCATTCTGTCGGTTGTTCTGAGGATAGCGTTTTTTTTTTTATTTTTCTTTTGTTTCGTTTGATTTCAATTCTCAATTTGTCCATTGGTTTTGTGTTTTAGATGATTGCTACTATTTGAATCGAGTTTGGTTATAGTGTTGCCCATTGTTCTCCTTATCTGACTTTTCTTTCTAGTTTGCTTGCATCAATCTGCCTAAACATAGCTTTCTATAGCCCCCCCTGTTTTTTGACAAAACTTTCAAACAGGCCAGTCTTACATACCTTACAATGTCGCAATAAAACTTTGGCATGCCGTCAAGGTTGCCTTTTGCTCACTGGCAACTTAAGAGGCACCAGAAGTTCTAGCCCTTCCCTAACGCTCTGAGCATGCAACATGCTTCTCAAAACAGTGTCATCATCAACACCCAACAACAACAACGACATAATCAATATTCATTCACATACAAGGAGATGCCTGCAAAACATAAATCACTCCACAGCATTCAGAGACACATGAGACAAACCCAGAACTACGGTTAACCCCATGAATGTTCACCAACAACCTCTATGCACTGAGATCTTAAACAGTGATTATGATTAAGGTCATTTGCTCACCAACAACCTACTTGAAAATGAAGTAAAATAACAAGATCAGTGTATTTTTAACACAATGACCAATTATTTTGTCAGCTCACAACAAGGACCTATTTTACAATGTACCCATTCAAAGAGAAAATCAAAGCTCTAAAAGAAATGAAGCTTCTAAATAACCCAAAAATGCCCTGATCTACAAATAACCCAAATTAGATATAGTAGAGTATATTAAAGGACGTAATGCTTTGATTAGCAAAATGTAAGTTGTCATGTTCGACTAAAACAATGATGGATATAATCAACTAACTTATGTCATAGAAGAAATATGTTACAGCTAATAAAATAAATAAATGTTTTTGGCACGGTCAAAAGAATAGTCATAAATCGAGCGAAAGAGAAAAAAAAGAGATGCATAAAAAGTCACGAAACCTCATCATGCATACCTCTTCAATATCATCAGTGCCATATATATTGTATCGAAAGGCCTGACTCAAATTACTAGCAAGTGCTGCAACATCATAATCTCTATCTCGGAAGTCTTCATCATCACTATCCCTAGCTCGATCTTGTAATGAAGTTGGGCGCCTTTTAGAACATATCAAAAAACAATGATTAATGATGGATATACAATGATATTATCATGGCAATGAAGAAAGCACAACGTGATTCCAAAACAATAGAAACAGTCAGTGTAACTTCAAGTGATACAAAAACATCTAAAAGAAAGGATAATGAAAATATGGCATTTACAAAATAAAATAGTATAAATACTGTAGCTAAATCTTCAACATAAAACAGGAAGGACATGTTTGAATTTTATTTCACCAAAGAAGTGTAAGATAAAACAAAGATACGAAGAATGCCAACCCCCTTGATGGGGACATCAGTTGGAAAGTCTACCGTCGACGTGGCCGTAGATCTACGGCCACGATTTACCCGATGTATTTCTGATTTTAGTATGATCATTTTATTTTGATGTATTTTTATTTTTTTGCACTTTTCCCTTTTTACCCTTGCTTGAGGGATTGAGTCTTGTAGCCCCTCGAGGGTATTTTAGTCTTTTATTTTATGACATTGTAATGGGCTATTTATAGCCTCCTTGTACTTTTGATGGTTAATGAATGATTATTGAGATTTCTTCCTGCACTTGTGATTTTGAGAGCCTTGAGAATTCTTGGAGAGTTTTGGAGAGATCCCTTGGAGAGGGAGATTGGCGCATCACCCACCAACTTTGGAGACGGCCGGGTTCGTGGTTTATTTTTGTCTTCTTTTCTTCCCTTTTGTTTTTGCCGAAACCCCTTCACCCCACTTCGCCTTGCCGCCGGTTTCTCCACCCACTCGAGCCATTTCATCCCCACACCATACCCACGGCCAACCCCTTACCCGAGCTCCTATAGGCCGCCGGCACCAATTCCCTAGCCGCCGACCGGCCCCGCCCATCTCCGGCCCCCACTGCCTTTTCTCCCCTTGAGTTTCTTAATTGACTGAAAATTATTTTGGATAATTTTGAATTTCAAATTCCCATTGAATTTGAATTCAAAATATTTACTAAAATAATTCGTCTATTTTAGGAAAGTATTTGTTTTGGGCTTAATTTGAAATTCAAATACAAGTGGATTCCAAATAAGCCTTTCTTAAATCAAATCCTAATTAAGACACCTTAATTACCTGCACCAAAATCCTCCTCTGCCATGCATGCCGCCGGCTCCATCAAGACTTCCGTTGGAATTATTTCCAAAAGCTAAATGCCTCCTTTGGAAATAACATAAATCCTCTTTACTCCCTCTTTGCTGAATTTCAAACACCCAGGAACCTCTTTAATTCTTTCTGAAAACCATTCTCACGGTTTTTGGAGAGAATTTCCCTATCTCCTCTACATTGCCGGCCCAGCTTCTCCATACCCGATTCCCGTTACTTCACATATCTCCTCCCCACCATTTCTCCCTCCCTCCTATGCACGTGTATTTGCTACTGCAACTCTTGGCTCCAATTCTCAATTCCTATTATATGAACCTGAGATTTCCTTCTCAGGTTTTTAGAAGGAAAACCTGAAATAATTTTCAGGTTATTGGGAAATGGCTTGAAGCTTCTCTCCTATCTCCTTGCTAGAGAAAACTTCTCAATTTTTCCATCATTTGGGACGGTACCAAGGAGATCATATTTTCAACATCGTTGGAATCAAAGAGAAGGTCATCTACCATTTGCTACTCATTGTGATCAAGGCGAGGGAAGAAGAAATAGCGAAAAGGTATAGCGTCGTTTCTCCGAGAAGGTGATCCTCTTCACTGAATCATTACTCTCAAATTCTACTTTCATCGTGAGAAATTGTATAAGCAAGAGATTGTGTCGACTTGTTGCCATCCACTAGTATTCGTACGATTTGTTACTTCTTTGCTTTTAGATCTCGTTGTTAAACAAGGATTATGTTGGAAACTACCCCGCATGCACTACTTTGATTTTCCTACGTGTTTTGATTCCGCTTAGCATTTTGTGTAGTTTGGCCTAAACGAAAGTGACCGTTCATTAGTTTTACTTTGTTGTTTTAATCACTACTAACGGAATCTGAATTTGATCTCAAAATATATTGTGCAAGTTTCCTACTTATGCATGTAGTCCTGCATCACCCCTACTCCCAAATAAAATATTCCAAAATTTTGGTATTATACTGATTCCTGTCCATTGCTAATGAAAATTAGCATACTGGTATAAAATGTAAAAAATGTTCCATACATGCTAATGTGATGCCTGTAAATCAAGAAAACCTATTTTAGGTGTAGATTTGTTTGGGGAATATAACATTATTCAATGAATATAGCTATTGCAGAAATTAACTTCAATGGCATGTAATACTTTTGAAGCGTTCAGATCAAGATCACATTACTCAACTACTATTTTATATTATGCCCTTAAAGTCAAGATATTCAAGGCATGTTTTAGGAGTATAAACTATGTCAAAAAGAACATAAAACTGAAAAACATATTAACAACTTTGCAAACTGCATCAGCTAATGAAGAAACATGAGAAAATTTTGAAGATATTGCAGGTGAATCTTAGTAACAATGTTTCTTCATTGTTAAAAGGCGTGCATTTAAAATGGGCAAGATGAAGAAAGGATTAAGAAGGCAAAACTATTTATTTCTCAAATAATGTTAGGCTTTAGAAAATAAATGATGCAACATTATAGAAAACCTGCTAGCTTAAAAATTAGATATATCATCAATTCGATTCATCGGAGTCCAACATGTTTCAACTTTCTATAAACCAGTGATTATAGTTTCTCCATACATGCACAATTCTCAAGATGCCTAAGAATACACAAACTGATGAAAACAAAAGGATCATTTTGGAATGCACAAAATTCAAATATTTCTAAAATCAAAGGATTATTACCCAAAGATATTCTTGATCACTCATGGTTCTAAAAATAAAAGGAAAATTTTCAAAATAATTCACAGATTATTCATGTGGCCAATTTAATCCAAAAATATAAAATTCTCTAATTTAGTCTCTCAATTATACAAAAGTTATCTCAAATAATCCCTCATGTAGATATTGTTGGAGATTGTGATAAAAAATTATCTTAATTTAGTCCCTTGACTAAACAAAATGGATCCAATTTAGTTCATGATGAACCATTTGGGATTAATTTTGTATAGTTGAGGAACGAAATGAGAGAAATGTGATCATTGAGACCAAACTTGGCCACATACGAGGGTCGATTTTGGGCATTTTTCCCTTCAAAAATATATTTCATGGAAAAGGAAAAGGATTCCGCTTGAAGGTTGGCAAGGAAAACATAGCACAATTATACATGCAAAATCCAACAATAGAAAATCTCAGGAAGTTGGCACACTTAAAATAACTGCTAATGGTAATATGCACCCAACAAAAGCTTTCCATCAAGGAGATTTTGTTGTCATTAAAACATTCAATATAAACCATTGAAGTACAAAAGAGACAAGCTAAAATTTTCCCTCAGTTGCCCATGGTCCGGGTAGCAAAATATGTGCATGCTCCATCTGTTAAAAATAAGAACACTTTTTGGTATCTTTAGCAACACCAAATCAGCAAATCTTGAACAATTCTCGGAATACATGGTGGTCCATTTTCATACAAAACAGAAGCAACTCAATATTTCCGTCCATTTTCAAAAAAATAATAATAATAATAAATAGCCGTCAAAAATGACAAGGAAATCACTAAAATATCAAATAGTTCAATCAGTTCCGCAGCAAAGAAAATCAAATTCATACCCACAAGCCCAATTGTAAACATTTTCAATGGCATTGCGCTTGACTAGGACGTTGGTGTGCCAATCAATCCATTCACTGTTTTCCTGAAAAACATGGCCGCCTTTATGAAATCGAGCTAATCAATAATCAGAAATGTTCATAAGCAAGAAACAGTAGCCTAAAGATCATTAGTTAATGACGCAGTTGTGCAACAACAACATTAAGCTTTTATCTCACTAAATAGGGTCGGCTACCGAAAACATTTTTCTACATTGTCTTATTAAGAGTCAAATTCTAATGACGATATGTGGAGGAAAAAAAAAATACAAGTATAGAAACAGGAACTGGACAAAGTGACAACACTATACTCCAACAAAGATATGAGTTCTACATCTTGATTAGATTGAAAGCATAATATCTGATACCAGATGTGTTGAAAATATTTTTCAGAAAGAGTCAAGAAACAACTTGGGCCAAGCATATGAAGTTTCTGTCCTAGATTCAAGAAACGAACAAAGTAGAAATGAATTTAAACTTTGCATATTACAAAATTCAAGGTTAACCCAATGCCTCTCTAAGAAAATCAATTCAAGAACCTGAGCTTGATATGGAGGTTAACCTGCAGATGTGTCTGTATTATAACACTTGAATTTGCTGCCTGCTCAAGCTTGTTAGCCATCCGCGACAAGTGCCCAATATTGCCAACTCTTGGAGGTGATCTTCCCTCTGCCGATATGGTTGGCTTCAACATAAAGATTGTCAATACAAGAATATCAACCGGATATAAAATTTTATATTATTATTTGTTTCATGGGGTACAGAAAAGTACCAATCAGAGGCTACCTTATTAGAATCAGTTTGTAGGATATGCTGCTTTTCTGCTTCAAGAATTTTGGCAACAATTTCGCAATCATTGAGAATATGGTCAACCAGTAAAGTTTTTTTGCTCTCTAAGCATGACCCTACGATATTCTCCACTTGGTGATGTAAAAAGTTATTGTAAGGATACCTAAATGATACGAAAAATGTTAAAAAACCATATTAAAAAAATAAATAATGATCAACTTTCTCCTACTCCAACCCCCTTCCCCAACTAGAAAATAGTCAAGCCACTTACTCAAAAAACAAATCTAGAACTTTTTTTATGGCCCCTAGATGAATCAACTCCTCCTCGGAAGCTTCATTACTAATTGTCAACAAAACAGAGATGAACTCCACAATCTGGAAGAGGAAGACACGTAAAGCTGAAAATATTATCTATAAATTATATGCAATCTCGGGATAATAAAAACATGCCATGGAATCAATGAATAATGTACAAGTTCCATATATAAACAGAGTAAAAGTGCACTTACCAAAAGAAAGATAAACAGGCTACTTGACAACAACTAGGACTACAGTTACTCAAAAAAGGTGAACAAATCATCATAAACACAGACAGTAAGTACTCAAGTTCTCTAAAAGTAAATAACAATGCATGCTTGTAAAAGAAAGAATGTTTTAATATGCCTAAATGTACGGTTCAAAAGTTGGCTCAAAAGTACGGAAGAAAATCATAAATAGCAATTTTTTGTTTGTTTACAAATGATAAAGAAAGCTTATAGAATTTTGCCTCCACGTTGTATGCAATATAAAATAAATTTAAGCATTAACACTGGAGCACAAATAAATATGTTCTCAAAGTATATTGGTTCAAAAAATAAGAACAAACATTCCTTACGACTAAGAATCAGGAAAAAATTTCGGATGAAGTACTCTAAAAATCATCTAACTTTACTTTAAAGTTTGGCCAATAACATTTAAAAAAAGAATAAAATTCATAATGTTTTTTATGGGAACATCGGAGCTTGGAAAATATATAAGAGGCGTGGCCGCTGCTATGGCCACGATCGCGCCGATATATTTTTAAGTCATTATATGTATTTGTTTTTTTTTTTTTGCTTTAGTTGTTTTACCCTTTTTACCCCTTACTTAAGGGTGGTTATGTGTAAGCCCAAAGGGCAATGTCGTCATTTATTTTCGTCCTTTGTATGAGGCTATATATAGCCCTTATGTTCTCTTTTGAAGTTAATGAATGAATGATGAATTTTTCCCCGTGTTTTTAGTTCTTGTGAGAGCTTGAGAGAGATTAGAGAGACCCCTTCGAGAGGGAATCAGATCACCCACCAACATTTGAAGAGTCTGGATTCATGGTTAGTTTATCAAATTTTGAGATTCAAATTTTACCTCCTTTGTTCTTCCCCTAATCCACCGTTCACCAAGCCCCACCACCAGATTCCCAAACCTAAATTATAAATCCTATTTTATGAAACTTTCCAAATCATAGCCTATTTGAATTTTAAATTAAATTGAGGTGAAATCTCTCATTCCAAATTTAATTTACTAATTTAAGAAAGCATTGAATGCCTCCATAACTCCCTCCTCCCTCTACCTATGTCGCCGGCCCCATATAATTCCTCATTGGAATTATTTCCTAAAGCCACCCTATATTCTCGGAAATAATTCAAACCACCTTCCCTCCCTCTTGGCCGAATTCCCCAAGGCCCTCACCTCCTTAATTCCTTCCAAAAGCATATTTTTAATTTTGGAATTAAATCCCTACTCCTACTCTAACCCCACCACCACCTTCCCTCTCTCATATCCCCCTTAATTTCTTTCCAACTCAAGGGACTTTGATTTGGGAATTAATTACAGCTTCTCCCTCCAAAACCCCCTCTCAAATTCAACCCTTACTCCACCCAAAATCTGAACTTAAGATTTCCCTAAGCCTCCTCCTTTAGGCCGGCCACTTCCCACCATAATCTCCACTTCAATTAGTGAGAGAAACTCCTTTCTCTCAAAAGGAGTCTTCAAGGGAAGCAACGACGATCGTCTTCAACACTTCAACCCTTCTAAACCTATGAATGGCCGATTCCGATCTTGACTCCATATTCGTTTACAACGAGCAAGGAAACGTCGACATCCTCCGGTCAACCTTCTTCGATATCAACCCGGAAGTCGACAATTCCGTCGAAGAATATTTGGATCTCATCATCTTCACACTCTCCGAAGCGATTGAAGAACAACTAGGCTACATTAAGTGGCAACTTGTTTCCGGACAACAACAAGGGTGAACTTCTTCCCCTATTTATTTATTTTCTTAATTCACTAATCTTGTAGGTGGTGATTCAATATCAAGGAGTTGTGCCTCGCTCTCTGCCCTCCCTTAGTAAACGTAGGATTTGAGTTTGACTTTCTATGTTACTGATTTCGTTGTTAACTTAGAGATCTTATTGAATCTCTATTGAATTTCTAAATTACTTTGGTAATTCAAGTTCTTATCATGTGGTTTGGCCTAAGTGTAACTACCCCTCTGTTTTCTATTATCATTTAGAGGCTAATAGTCTTAATTATTATTTGCACTTATTAAAAACGTGCAAACTCTTATTGCATTCATATTTAGTCATGCATTAGTTTTCAATTTTAATGATAACTGATTGTTTCTCACAAAAATATAAAATATGTAATAGTAGAAATTGTTGTGTTAAATATTTCTAATAAATCACATGGTAATATAATCATTGAGCTAATAAATTTATCATAGTAACTTGCAAATCCTCTCTCTAGCGCCTTTTAGTCGACCCTACTCATAATTTATTATTTTAATAACCATATTACCTTTTGATTTTGCACATGTATTTCATGTGTGTTACCAACACATTTTTGGGTTTTTCATAAGAAATTATGAAATTGTTATAAAAATTAAAACAAAATAATTTTTAGCCATGTTCAAAATGCAAGTGACCTAGGAAAACGGTAGATGTTCATTTTAATGCATTTACAAGATGCATTTTAAGTTTCCAGCGCAAAAACTAAATGCATCATAATAAAAAAAAAGTTAAGCTGACGAGTTCTGGTATGCACTTTTTGCTGGAAGTCTACAGGGAAAATTTTAGGTGAAATGGCAACTTTAAACTACAAATTTGAGCCATCATTGTAGAGAATAACACTAATGAAAATTCGAAGTTCTATTATACATAACGTAACAAAAATATCTAAAGAAAGAAAGCACGAGACATATCTCCGACTGTATCAACGGTGTACATGCATTAATATCCAATTTCTCTAGGACGAAATAAAACAATGCAAGTAATTCTCCGATAAAGTGATACCTTCAAACGGTGTTTACCAAGGGGAGGTTCTAAACTTCCATAGGTAGTTGTCAAAACAACTTCTGAAGCAGAAACATCTAGTAACTTCAATAAATCACCTTCAAGAGAAATCAATAGTCATAAGTATATGGTAAAAAAAAAGTAAAAAACATAACAAAAGAGAAATTCCACACCCCTAAACCCCCCCCCCCCAAAAAAAAAAAAAACAGGCCTCCCCCAAAAAAAAAGCAGGCATCTTTTGGATCTTTGCCTGCCTTACAGCTCACAACACAATCAACAGTAAACCTCAAAACCACAGAACATTAGAACAAGAAGGAAGATACTGATTTCTAAGTGAAATCCATTACAAAAGGCCTGTCATGGACTAACTGGTCCACTAGTGGCTATGGACAATCCTATTGAATAATACAGCCCAATCTCTCTGAATAGCATGAAGGCCTGTGAATTTAAGGTGGCATGTGTTGAATATTAGAAAGTCAAAGTTAATAAATTTATTTTAGTAAATATTGATTGTGATCCTATCCTATGATTTTGTTTCCTAATTAGAGAATTATTTTAGGAAAGCATGTTTAGGTATAAAAGGATATATTGATTGTGATCTTCTCCTGTGATTCTATCTCCTAATTTTTAGAAAAGAATTATTCTCCTATGATTATATTTTCTAAATTTTAGGAAATAATTAAGTTAGGTAATTATTTCCTATTTCAGATATTTTTTTAGTATATATATGCACATTTAGTACAAAATTTTAGCAAAAAGAATAATGAATTAAGAAATTCTTCATGGTATCCGAGCTAGCTCTCTGAACCCTAATCCTTTCAGGCCGCCTCTCTCTAACAGTTTTTTTTTTTTTTTGCCGTCTTTTCTCTGTTTCTAAGGCTAATTATCTCTGGTCAGTGTCCGTCCCAACCTTCTTCTATATTTCCAACAACCATATTCACTCTTCACCCTCGTCTTCTTCTTCGCGATACGGAATGACCTCATCAGAAACAAATGGCAGTATAACAACATAATCAAGAAGCAATTTAGAAATTCCAAACCATGGTGGCAATAATTCTTCTCCTATTTTCATCACATGACAAATTAAATGTCCATAATTATTTGCAACGGTCACAATTTGTGTTGCTATTTATTTGCAATAAGGGAAATGACAAGTATCTCAGGGTAGATAGCCATGCCAGAGACTACATATCAAAGTTTTAGAAAGTGGAAGATTGAAAATAACATGACCATGTCATGACTTATCAATTCCATGAACAATGACAGGTGAAAATTTCTTGCAATTTAGGACTGCAGCCAAAGAGACTTACTCCAACTCTAAAAATACATAAGAGTTGTTTCAAGTTGAATCAATACTTCATGACTTCCGCCAAGTAAAGCAGTCTCTTACTCAGTATTACAATACACACATGGTATTGGCAACAACTTGATTTATTCGAAATTAACTCATGGGCATGTCTAGAAGATGCAAAAATGCACAAACAAATTATAGGGAAAAAAAAAAAAGATTGTTCAAGTTCTTCTTAGGACTAAACAGGGAGTTGGATGATATTCGAGGTCGAATCATGGGCACTAAACCGCTACCCAATCTTAAGGAGGCTTTTCTGATATTAAGCATGAGTGATGATGGGATCTAAAGAACAACCCGCATCAACGTTGGATGCATCTGCCCTTGTTGCCCAATCATCTAAAAACAATGGTGGACATTGTTGGAAACAAGAAAGTCCATGATGTGATTACTGTAAGAAGCCAGGTCATTACAAGGAGAATTGTTGGAAACTCCATGGCAAACTAGTTGATTGGAAATCAAAGCCACGATTTGATAGAGACAGCAAAGCACATGTGGCTTCCAACTCTGAGGGAGTTGTTCCTTAGCCTAGCCGATTTGGCAAATAGTAGATAGATTTGCTGCATAAACTCTTTAATAAAGTTGATAATGGTAGCATTAGTGAAATAGGTTTTATTGCTCAAACAAATTCACATATTGTCTTCTCTATTCATAGAAGAGAAACAAGGTCATGGATAGTTGATACTGGTGCTTCTGATCATATGACAGGAGATGCTGCCCTTCTCCAAAATTACAAGCCAAGCGGTAATCACTCATCCATCAATATTGATGATGTTTCAAATTCTAAAATTGTTGGAATAGGTTCCATCCAACTTACTAAAGAGTTGTATCTCATCTATGTCCTCCATGTTCCATACAAACCATCAATTACCTTTTCTTTGATCCATAGTGATGTGTGGGGTTCCTCAAGGATAAAAAATATTTCTGGCACTCGATTGTTTGTGACATTTGTTGAGATCATACAAGAGTAACTTGGATTTTCCTTATTAAAAAAAAGTTCGAGGTCAGGCTAATTTTTCAAACATTCGATCATATAGTTCAAAATTAATTCAACTCTAGAATTCAGGTACTCAAGTTAGACAATGTTAGTGCATACTTCACAAGTAGTCACAATACCTACCTCCATAACCATGACATTATCCATATAAATTCTTATTTTGATACCCCTCAACAAAATGGGGTGGTTGAATGCAAAAATAGACATCTCTTGAAGGTTGCACGGTGTCTTATGTTTTCCTCTAATGTTCGTAATTATTTATGGGGGCAGGCCATTCTCACAGCTACCTATTTGATCAATATATGTCATCTAGGGTCCTTAACTTTCAATCTCCACTTCAACTTCTTCTGACAAATTTTCCTCGCACCCGTGTAGTTTCATTTGATTTACCACTCAAGGTATTTGGTTGCACGGCATTTGTTCATGCGTATCCTAAACACTGTAGCAAATTTGATCCTAGGGCCAATAAGTGTATTTTTTAAGGGTACTCCCTAACTAAAAAATGTTACAAATGTTATTCTCCAACCAACAAAATATTTTACACCACTATGGATGTCTCTTTATTTGAACATTTGTCTTTCTATCCCAAATCTTATGTTCAGAGGGAGAGCATGAATGAACATCAAGTTTGGGAGTTCTTTCTTGAGTCTGTGCTCTTTGCCCACTCAGAGCCACCAAGTTCTTCTCAACCCATGCTTTTTCCCAAAGACTGTACACAAAACTTGTCCACGCTCGTGCATGTTCAGTCATTAGTCCAACCCACAAATGTTTCTTCTCCCATGCCTGATCAATCTGTGGCTCCACAACTTGCTAATGAGAATTTTCAATTCTACATTATGAGGAAAAGACATGAGCTAGAGCATAGATCACAACCAGCATGTGGCCAAGATATTGACTCAATTTCAAGTCCACCTAAAGAAAACAAAGGTACAAATAAGGCTGGAGTTGTGTCAATTTCTAACATTGATGACTATATCATATTGAATGCATTGAGGACGGATGTTAGGAGTTGTACAATTCATCCAATTGAGAATTATGTTACTTATCAAGGGTCATCGTCATTTTACAGAGCATTTACTACTTTTGATAAGATTCAAGTTCCTAGCACAATAGAAGAGGCATTACAAAATTTAGAGTGGAAGAAGGAATTACAAGAGGAGATTGATGCCCTTGAGAAGAATGGAATATAGACTATTACAAATTTGAAAGCTTGGAAAAGGCCCGTGGGGTGCAAGTGGATTTTCACTATAAAGTATAAAGCAGATGGATTAGTTGAAAGACTAAAAGCTTGGTTGGTAGCTAGAGGATTCACAGAATTATATAGGATAGACTATCAAGAAACTTTTGCTCCTGTTGCAAAGCTTAACACTATCAAAATTCTTCTCTCATTGGTTGTCAACCAAAATTGGTACTAGCAACAATTGGACAAAAAATACTATCGCTCTAAAAATATTGATGATCTTGGAAGGTTGATAAATATCAAAGTAAAAAATTACAAAATTAGTAAAGGACTATAATCATTTATTGAAATTTGGCAATTTCACAAATCTCACAATGAGGTTTACATTAAAAAAATGAAACATATATTATATGGTTTTGAAAGAGATACCATGGAGAAGGAAAAATAAAATGTAGGTTTTGGAAGAGGGATGACCTAACCTATAATCATATTCCTAAATGCTTCTGTATTGAGATTGAAAATAAAGAAACATGATCAGTGATTTCATCTTAAAGAAAATATAATCCATCCTTTTATGTAGCTTATCCATCGTAATCCCACAATGAGGTCATGAAATGCACAATAATTAGCAAAAAATGCTAATTTGCAGTTGTGGTTTGTAATGATTTTATAGATTGATAAAAAATTTACTATGAGATGATAAACATCCACTTAGGGGTGCAAACGAGTCGAGTTGAACTCAAGTCATGCCTAACTTGAGCTCGACTTGGAACCAAATCCCAAGCTCAAACTCGAGTCGAGCTCGCCTCGCAACAGTGGATACCAGCTCGCAAGCGTACCGATTTTGCATTCGCAGGCAGCCTTGCAATTCTACCTTTCGTGTTTGAGCCTGTCCAAGCCCCCACCTTCACCACCACCACCCCCCCCCCCCCCCCCCCCTCCGCGCCAATACCCCCTCCCCCCCCCCCCCCCCCCCCCCCGTTCCGCTTTCGAGCGCCTCCCCCTGATTCTATGTCTGAGCCCGCCCCCGCTTCCGCACTCGAGCCATTCAATGAGTAATCAAGTCGGTCTTAATCTGGATTGAACTCGAACTCAAAATTATGCTCAAAAGTCGATGAGTTTGAGCTCAAAACTTGATAAGCTCAACTCGCGAGCTCGTTAATGAGTTGAGTTCAAGCCGACTCAGCTCATTTGCACCCCTACATCAACAACATTATTGGCAATAATGTGGAGGAAATTAAAAATTTTTCATAATTTGCAATAGCTACTGGAACACCAACTAACTTTATTTTTCTATTGCAAGGACAAGATTTGTAGGTCTGAAAAAAGTTGGCAATGTTGGTCATATAATCAATAGCTCTTAAATCTAGAATATGGGTAATAGAGGAATTATTTAAGGCACTGAAAACATAAGAGTTAAAAGCAAAAGCATTTTGAGCTAGAAAGCATAATCCATATTATTTTTCCACGGAGTTGAGAAGCATATGAGTTTGCCATTTTTTATAGAGCGTTCCGATTTCATAAGCGTTGGCCTTTTTGGTGACATTCTATATTTACATCATAGCTTGAGGGC